AACAGAGTAACAAGGTAACAAGGTAACAGAGTAACAACGTAACAAGGTAACAGCGTAACAAGGTAACAGAGTAACAAGGTATAACAAGGTAACAAGGTAACAGAGTAACAGGGTAACAAGGTAACGGGGTAGTAAGGTAACAGTGTAACAAGGTAACAAGGTAACAAGGTAACAAGGTAACAGAGTAACAAGGTAACAGAGTAACAAGGTAACAGAGTAACAAGGTAACAGAGTAACAAGGTAACAAAGTAACAGAGTAACAAGGTAACAAGGTAACAGAGTAACAAGCTAACAAGGTAACAGAGTAACAAGGTAACAAGGTAACAGAGTAACAGGGTAACAAGGTAACAGGGTAGTAAGGTAACAGTGTAACAAGGTAACAAGGTAACAAGGTAACAGAGTAACAAGGTAACAGAGTAACAAGGTAACAGAGTAAAAAGGTAACAAAGTAACAGAGTAACAAGGTAACAAGGTAACAGAGTAACAAGCTAACAAGGTAACAGAGTAACAAGGTAACAAGGTAACAGAGTAACAAGGTAACAAGGTAACAGAGTAGCAGGGTAACAGGGTAACAGAGTAACAAAGTATCAAGGGTAACAAGCTAACAAAGTTAAAAGAGTAACAAGGTAACAAGGTAACAGGGTAACAAGGTAACGAGGTACACTGTTACCTTGTTACTCTATTACCTTGTTAGTAAGGTAACAAGGTAAAAGAGTAACAAGGTAACAAGGTAACAAGGTAACAGGGTAACAAGGTAACGAGGTAACAGGGTAACGAGGTAACAGGGTATCAAGGTAACAGGGTAACAAGGCAAGAAGGTAACAAGGTAACAAGGTAACAATGTAACAAGGTAACAGAGTAGCAAGGTAACAAGGTAACAAGGTAACAAGGTAACAAGGTAATAAGGTGACAAGGTAACAAAGTAACGAGGTAAAAAGCTAACAAGGTAACAGAGTAACAGGGTAACAAGGTAAAAAGGGAACAAGGTAACAAGGTAACAGAGTAACAAGGTAAGAAGGTAACAAGGTAACAAGGTAACAAAGTAACAGGGTAACAAGGTAACAGGGTATCAGGGTAACAAGATAACACTGAGGGTAACAAGGTAACAGAGTAACAAGGTGACAGAGTAACAGGGTAACAAGGTAACAGAGTAGCAGGGTAACAAGGTAACAAAGTAACAGGTTAACAGAGTAACAAGGTACAGGGTAACAAGGTAACACTGAGGTTAACAGGGTAACAGAGTAACAAGGTAACAGAGTAGCAGGGTAACAAGGTAACAGGGTAACAGAGTAACAAGGTAAGAGGGTAACAAGGTAACACTGAGGGTAACAAGGTAACAGTGTAACAGGTAACAAGGTAACAGAATAGCAGGGTAACAAAGTAACAAGGTAACTAGGTAACAAGGTAACAAGGTAACAGGGTAACAGAGTAAGAAGGTACAGGATAACAAGGTAACACTGAGGTTAACAAGGTAACAGAGTAAGAATGTAACAGAGTAACAGAGTAACAAGGTAACAGGATAGCAGGGTAACAGAGTGACAAGGTAACAGAGTAACAAGGTACCAAAGGAAAAAATGGAAGGTATAACTTATGTAAGTAAAGTTGGTACAATATATATCCCCATACATCAAGTACCTACCGAAAATGTCTCCAATTATTCGCGGACCACCACGAAAGGTGACCGCTTTGCAAGTTGTGAGAACATCGTTTTTCGGTTCCAGACCTCATCTCGCAGATAGAACCAATCAAAATCCAAAATGTTTCGCAGGAGGAATATTGAAATTTTTAAAGCAGTAAAAATCAAACGTGTTAGTGGCGTTTATACCCTTGAATTTTGATTGATTCTGCATTATAAGTAAATCTATCAAAGTTTGCAAAAATTTTACAACTGAAACATGCATATGCCATAGGCAGCCTCCTCTATTGGATGGAAACAAGGTATTAATAAACAAGCTATTAAAAGAATAAAGGAGAAAAGCCGGGGAACAAACTTGCATTTGAAAGGCTTTTTAAAACCGCGCTGATATGATCAATCTCCTCTCCAATCCCCACATATAACTCTGAGCCATGTATTCACAATATGAAATTATATTTTCAACGTTGTGCAGAGGATGAGAGAGACATGACCTTTTAACGTGGGAGAATGAGGCGCGTTTCAGAAACAACACCCTTTTAACCAGGAGTACGTTATCATTACGGCCATCACAACCTTACAAGAGCTCTCTTCAAATATCTCTTCAACGGCCGGCGAAAATGCCCGCCACCTTTCGTGCACATGGTTTGCGCAGTGCAAAACAAATGAATCACCCTAACACAGTTCATTATTTGACGTAATATCTGTAAGCTTGCCCAGTATTGCAAGTTGTTAAGGTGAGAAGGAGCGCTCAGTCGTGCTTACTTATCTGAATGTATTTCAGGGGCGTCATGTCTTTGTTAGCTGGCCACTTACCAACGCAGCTACGGTTATGATTTGATTTGAAAGTTATCTGTTTTGGAGAAGCTGTAGAGCCTACTGTAATCTCATCAATGAAGATCCGTTCAGGTTGAAATTGTCTGTTTAGGGGCGATTTTCAACACCACAGAGAAACTGTCTCAAAGAGGAGAAATAATAATAATAACAATAATAATAATAATAGCGAAGGTTTTACAGAGTATCAGAATTTAATAATATTCTAAATTGGCTTTTTAAGTAGAGAGATTCATATCACTATGTATTTTAGGATCGTATTAGGTTTCGTATCGACCTTTTTTTACTTCTAAGTATAGCATCTCAAGTGGTGTAGGTTACGCTATGCGCCCTATACTACTCATAATGTGGACAGCATTCCAAAGTTTCATACTGCGACATAATAATTAATAATGAAATAATTTTATTGACAACAATGCTAACTATTAAAATCCTATTTACAATTAATTCGTTGAAAAAAAGAAAAAACTATTCATTCAAAACACTATTTACAATTCCTGTCGATTTAAAAAACACTTAATTTAGCTTAGAAAGAGTTAATTTAACTAAGAAAAATTTATTCGTATTAAAAACATTTCATTTCAATAAAAAAACACTGTCAGCCTCTAGAATTCAAAAGTTTCTTTCAACTGTTTAAAAAAAATAAATAAATAAAAAAAATAAAGACAATTAATAAAATATCTATAGCTGCTGAGTCTAGGGAAGTCCAGCTTGACCCTTCTCTATTTCTAGATCCCTGTCCTTAACATCTAAGTTCCTCCTCGGGGTTCTCTTTCTAATAATAATAATAATAATAATAATAATAATAATAATAATAATAATAATAATAGTGATGTTGATGATGATAATAATAGTAATTTATTTAACTTTCTTGCCGTAAATTACTGGATGGATGATTCGGATTACAATAAAATTAAATAACATCTATGCACACATACAAATATTTCAAAGTGAAAAAGTTTCCAGTCCTGAGTGCGCCTATTTCTGCAACTGATAACGTTCTTATAATTGAAGTATGACTGTAAAGCTGGTCTAATTTTTGCCTCAAGATGGACGGATAATTATTTCCCCTCGCGGTTTAGGTAAAATATAATGACGAGGATGATTGCAAACTGAACTTGTGGGAGAGATACAAAGGGACGCTGAAAACGCAGCAGTTTTAAAATGTACAGGGATAGTTCATGCTGAAATAAAGTAATTGGGATGTAAAAGAATGCAACTGATGTCAAATTTGTTTTCTTAAAATTGGAATTACAACCTATTATTAAAATCCAAAAAAATTGCTGGTTTCACCGTTCAAACCATTCCATAGATAAAGTCCAGAATCTGGGAAATGAAAGAAAGTAAATTATACAAAGACACTTGTGCCAAAAGCAAAACCACAATGACAAACCAGTGAGGGTCAGCCGAGTCTTAAGTATTTTATTTATTTTATTTTATTTATTTATTCCTCCAATTCCTAGCTGATACATAGTTATGTAAATATAACTGAGAAAAATAACGTAGTAACAGATAAAGATTTACAAAGGAAAAAACGCGTAAAATAGAAATTACAACACTTAAATTGAATTACATTGTATATTGGAAGGAGAGGAGAGGGGCACATCTAGATAAACTAATATTGTGCCCCTTAAAGTTATGTATAACAAAGGACTTAAGATTATTAATAAAAAAGTAAAGGAAAAATGACAAATAGCTCAGAAAGTTATTAAAGGGATATTGATTCATTAGTATTGAGCCAGGTACCAGCGTAAAAGTGCTTTTTTAAACATTTTTTTAGATGGTTTTTCTCTAATGGATTGCGGAATATCGTTCCAAAAGAAACTTCCAATAATGCTGGGGCAAAATCTCCTAAGATTAGTTCGAAATAAAGGTATTGCAACTTGATTGGATGATGCACTGCGGGTACTGTAATTATGTAGTTCAGATACTAATGAAACAGGTATATTAGGAAACTTTTCTTGGTGGAAATTATCATAAAAAAGCATACGGTGGCGTACAAACGCCTCAAAATCCTCTTCCACCGCTTCCTTTTGCTTCCCTCTTTTTGAAGACATTGTTTGTTACTTGTTTGATTAGTTTGTAAAAGAAAAAGTAAGATTTATGTGAGAAATTATGTCAAGTTGGCAGAGCCAACAAAAAACGCGGCCATCATGCTCGCTGACCGCTGACGGTAGACCTGAATCAGTAAAATCTTCAATCCAAATTTAAAAATTAAGACAGTAAACTGATCCTTACGGCAGGAAGAGTGATAGAAAAAATAGAGAGAGAAAACGGAAATAGAATGGTGAATTATATTTTCCCAAAATTTCGGTTTGCAACACAAGCCGTCAACGAGGGCTCTAAACGAAAAATGAATACAGATACAAAATGAACGTTACATATGCGAGATTTGAATCTGACATAGCAAACAGAAAATGATAGGCTACTAAAAAGATAAACGTCACTTATTGAGTTCATAACGACTATTCATACAACGGGGATCGTTTTCATTTTATAGCCCCCGTTGAAGGTTTGTTTTGCAAACCGAAACATTTGTTTTCTTTATTTATTTTTTCTACCACTCTTCCTGCCTTAAGGATCATTTTACTGATTTAATTTTGAAATATTCAAAGACCCTTAGCAATTTTTCAGATGCGCGATATTTGGCAGAATGTTTAAATTTATTTTAGAGCGTTGTATGCAAACGCCATATTGGTGCCCCTCTGAGGGGCACCAACATGGCAGCGGGAAACAACAGCAACAATTGAATGTTATCGAGTTTTGCTACGAAAGGGTGGATTCATCCCTGAAGAAACTGGTAAACTGGTAAGTAATGGTTGATCAATCTAGACTTGATACCGCTCACTAACAAGTACAACTCCAAGGCCTCAAAATATATACATCTGTTATAGTCTTGTTCAGTTCCGGAAAAAAGGGGGGCAGATTGTCCTGGGATTTAAACAGACTTGAGGGGTTAAAAAATTAGCCCTAACAACAAATTTTGTAAATTCAAATGTGAAATTGCGTTGTGTTATTGACTGAGTATTTTCGATGGTAGAGTGGTAGTCTCCGTTTTTTTTTAAATTTTTGCCTAAAAAAAGCAGGGGCACGGGCCCACTGGCCCTCCCTCTTAATACTCTTACAGCCCTGCCCAGACCTGAGAAGTGAGGCGTCATCAGTACGGAATTTCTCAGCAGCCGTTGCTCAGACGCCATTTCAACGGAAAACCAGTGGAGGCGTCGCGAAATGTCGATTGTTTTCTCAGGCTATGATCGGAAACCCTCCTTTCTCCGTTCATATGATTAATTATTTTTTGAAATCTTGGATAATATCTTCACGACCCCTAATTTTTTCTAGAAATGTGAACTGGGGATAATCCATTGCATCTCAAGGCATTTTTAGGGTTTTATGGCGTGACCTCATTCGAAATTTCTTGGGTCTGCTCTTTTTAATATATTAAAATATGTCGAGGCACAACAACAGCAACAAAACCGTAATAACAATGTTGCTTAAATCAATCAATTGTTTTAATAGATATTGCTTATATAATTATACGGTCTCTGACTCCCTTTATGCTAGGCAATCCTCACAGCTGCTTCCAGCTGGTAAACGGATTTTTTTATGGTCTCCACCAGCGCATGATACTGTCTTGTCAGTGAATTTGTTGCCTTGACAACACTGGCAATATTTTTTGTAGTAGGGAAAGCCCATTGCGATCCTACTGATAGACCGACATGTTCCACGGCACCTTTT